CTCGCTCTACGACCCGAGACAAAAAACAATTACATAAGACAGCATAATCAACTCTCCCGTTCTGTATGTCATCAAATTTTGTAAATTGATCTTTCCGATGTGTTATGTTATGTGAATAGTTTTTGTTTTTAGTGTTTATACACAATTTATTTTCCCTAATAAGCCGCGGGTAATACCACGGGGCACAGCTAGTACCAAAATAAATCATAATATTAGTGCGCAGGTAATGAAGTAAATATGTAGTAAATAGGAACTACTACCTACTTAACTCATTATATTTATGTAGTGATACATGCTTGAAAAAAGTTTCCATATACTTTCACACATCGACGATTTCTTGTATTTGTAGCGATAAAATATTGATATTGATGCCAACAGCCTGGGCAGCCCACTGCAAAGGGACCAACCCCTCGAAAAACAAGCCACGCCCATTCTCATGCCCCCTAATTCCCGGAAATTCGAGCCCCCTTTCACGCATAAGGTAAAATCACCCGCCTCCCAACGACCCCCCCCCCCCCCCCCCCCCGAACAATTTTCACGAAACACGAATTTAATTAATTCACCAAATAAATATCATGCTCTCCGTACTTTCGAAATATATAAATTTTTGAAAATCAACAAGGCAATGGGTTTTCAATTAGCGAATAAGAATTTCGTTTATTAAATTATTCGTAATATTGTATTCTACCACATAAATGATAGTACTTTTATACTGATAATTAAAGAAATTGGTGCAAAATTATTCCCTAACCATTCCATAATATCAAAAATGCACAACGTTAATATTCAAGTTTTCACTTCTGCCGGCACTCATGGAGTGCAACCCGTCGTTTTTTTCTTTGCATAACTTTTAACAGAGTAGTCCGATTTTGATAATTAAGTATGTATTTATTTATTGGAAATGGTATATCCTGAAGTTGGCCCTGATAAAAAAAATCCAAATCTAAGGGCGCGATTACACTTGGTTGTTAGCCCGAATACAAGTGTCAATGGAATTCGGGTAAACGACTAAGTGTAAATGAACGGAGTCGAGTACGCCCGAATATTGCTTCGGGTGCCCAAATCCGAGTAATGCCTTTCCTGCATCCGAATGCGGGCTAACGACCAAATGTAATTGCGGCATGACGATAGGAAAACAGTAATGTATGACCACACATAGAGTCTGGTGAAATCCACAAAAGTGCACCGCCATTTTCCAAAAAGAAGAAGAAGACGACGCATAACTTTTTACAGAGTAGTCCGCTATACCTCAAAAAAACCCTAAATAATTTGAAAAAAAAACCTACTCTACGGCTGGGTAAATAAAAGGGTGACCATTCATTCACACGTTTTAATAGTTAGTTCTGCGTTGTGTATTACAGAACTTTAAGCCACAAAAAGCTATAAAATAAAATATTTTGAACGAATAAATTGAACCGTCGCAAAGAACTGAAAAGCAGTAAATAATAAACCTTTTTTATTTATCGACTCAAAATTACTTAGGAATACGTTAAAGAAGTGATTTGTATTTTATAGCAAACATATATACTCATAGTATAATTTACAATATTGGACATAATAACGAAAATCATGCCAATAGAAATGAGTGAAATTTATACTACCATCTTAATTCATTACTAGGTTGAAGCTCATTTGGGGACAAAATTTTTAGCTGCAGGTGATGTTTAGGGAATAATTTGTTTTTCGGATCGATTATTATTTCCCCATATTTATTCGAATCGGACTTGGAGTCGCCTAACATCAGCATCTTTTGAAATGTCACAATTGCACTTGTCAAATTATTTTATTAACGTAAGACAGATTGTCCTGAATGTGACGTTTTTCTTTACAGGTAAAAAGGCTTATAAAATAACCAAAATTCAGATTTTTAACTGTCATTCCCTTATGTGTAATGGGTGATCACTTGACATTGGCGGAGCTGTGATAAATCACAACGCAAGCCATCATAAAAAAAAGAAGAAGACAGAATAAAACGAGTCGTTACCTAATTGATTCTTCTTATTTGTCGTTAATAAAAGTTACGTTTATCTTACCCGTGAAGAAGCCATCGGGGAAACTTTCGATGGAGGCCTCGGCAATTTATTAAAATGTTCATTTATTAACTTCGAACATTCAGCAAATAATGCAGCAATATTACTATACATCGTATCTACAGGTTGTGCTTTGCAGTTTATTGAAAAGTAATTAAGATAAATTTACATAGATAATTGAAAAAAATGCGGGATTAACATTTAGTAATCTCAACTCCCAACACCGTTGTTAGTTACCGTTGTACTTACCTAGGTGATCAAGTTATCAACATTATTATCGAACGTAAAGATTGTATCAATCATTCATTGTTGAATCCCTGTCAGGGTTAATACTGTTTCAATGATTTACTTTAAATAAAAAAAAAATCCTTAGAATACACAAAATGTGCTCAGGTTTTGTTTGTGGTTTAGTGACAATAGTCATAGGAGCTGCTTTGGTTATAAGCAGTTCTATTGTTGGATTCGTAGTTGTTCCAAACATAGTAAAGGAGGGAATTGTTAATGTGAGTAATAATTATCATTAATATCATCATATATTTGCAATTAAAATCCCCAAAGCAGGGGCATAAACCTTCCCTATTATTGGAATTGGGAGAACAGTACTCTAAGCACGAACCACTAGCGAGAAAGTATTCGTATCGTCAGCGTCATGTCAAATTTTCTATAGAGAAAGCTAATTTGTTATTACGTCCGGTAGGAGCGCTGCTTACTTTAGATAGAAACTTTGACGATGCGATACGATTACAGATCCGTCAAAGTTCGTGCTTGGGGTATGGGTCATGACTCAATACGCGGGGTCAGTTCGTCTTTTCATTTCAATCTTATCCATCTTAATTTAACAGATGAGTTTTAATCTAAATTAAATATATTAGGTAATCAGTTTAACTAGTTATTTATTTATTTGATCACCAACATAATAAACATTGACACAACAATCTAGCAGGTAATGATAAAATACTTAAGCTTAATGTTATTACAATTATAGGTGAAGACCACATGCGTTATGGAATAGAAGCAACAAATGCTGGTAAACTGTTGATGAAAAAGCCTTTAAAAGCTTTGTAAGATTTAAAAAAAAAAGCATATTATCAACAATGTCCCGGTTACAATCAATGCATTATAAGAAGAGTTATATCGAATAAAGTCTACTTATATATATAGTAAAAAAAAATGAATCGAAATTAATTAGTCACAATAAATTACAGATAAAATTAATTTATAGAAATAATAACACAATTAAAATCAAATTACAATAAGTTATAATTAGGTACTCTTTAATTGTTCTAAATAATAAATACTTATTGGGATCAATCATATTATTAAGTTCGTAACATTTCCTTTGATGATGGGTGACGGGGAAAATTTCACGATTTCACGTATCAGATTTAAGTTACGTTAGTTTAACAAATCACTAAGTAGCTTCTACTTGTAAGCCGATTTTCTTATACTACCATTTTACTACTACTCTTATTTATATGTAGCAACGTAAGTATAAGACTGCAATTAAACTGTCGATTCTTTTATTTTAATGATCTCTGGTAGATAATTAACTAGGTAGTTCCAAACAGTGACAAAAAAAAATACGTTCTTATTTAAAAAATAAAAGAAAAAAAAATTTTTTAGACGACAACTTAACTCTCATAATCTAAATATTTTATTTATCGCTTTGTTGGCGTAACAAATGTTTATGTCCAAATTATAGCTTTCTAGCCTACTAGCACCTATACTAATAGTCTCGGAGCTGAGGACAAACGGACCGGAAAGAAATGGTAAAACTATATTAAGGATCCTAGTTGACTTCGTAACCCTAAAAAAGCTAGCCATGTTTGAGAGCAAATAAAGTTAAAAACTACACTCACTCAAACCTGTGCTCCAACTCCGATTATATTTTCAGTTTAAATTATTTGAATAACATTCAGTTCATTTAATAAATATTTAGCTCGTAAAAAAAGTTGATCGGCATCAGGCGTACAACATGAAATTAATAATGAAATGTCATATAAAAGTTGTCTTAAGATGGTTTAAAACCGTGTCTTACTTTTATGAGGACCAACTTTTAGTTTATTCAGTGAGTCTCAAGGTAATGTATGTATATGTATTTCGAAAAACAATTTGCGTAGCTACCTTTGCATTTTGTTGACTTTGATTCGATTTACCTTCATACAAGCATATGGCAGAGGGAAACGGATAAATAATTAATCGGGCCAAAGTTCAACAACATAAATATGTAAACATGCCTACACATGAAAAAAGATAAATCATAAATTAAGATTACGAATTAGAGCGTTACCCAACAGATAATGAGGTTAAACATTAGATGTAAACAGCTTTATTAACACTGATAAGAAAATTGAAAATTTTATATTTTTAAATATAATTCGTATCTATTGTTACCTAATTATTGTCTAAGTAAGTAAGTAGAAGATAATTTCTTTCTTATTTCGTAAGTTCTCAGTTTTATTATTTGTAACGCAGTGAAATCAATATTAATGAAAATACTGCTCTTCTTTAAATGTCCTCTTTAATGACGCATAAATCGTATCTGTAGCAAATAAAACAGCTGAGTAGATACATAATAGAAGCATAACAAGTCGAACATTTTAATCATTAAGTATAAAATACTTATCAAGGAGCTCCATGATGCATGTGGTAAGTGCGTTCGGCTGTGTTTGTTGAAGTTAAACAAATTTCGCAGTGACAGCCCATTGGATGGGAGACAAAAATAATTTCACTATCTCGAGTTGAGAAGGTACATCAATCCGTTGGTCCCAGCTGCATCTCGTTACCCGCCAGTCCGCACTGGGCCCGAGTGGTGGGTCATTGCCTAATCTCCCCATTTCATCCATAAGGAAGGCCAGGAAGCCTCAGCAGCGCAGGTATTAATAGGCTGTTGATGATGATGATAAAATAGGTACCTATATCAATATGCCGTAAAGTACAGAAGTACTAACTTATATTTACATTTTGCAGCAAGTAGCATTGATGGATGACACAATCCAACTGGAAAGGTTTACAGAAGTACCTTTTCCTCTACAATGTAGGGTGCGAGTTTTCAATATCAGCAATGCTGCAGAAGTTTTAGAAGGTGCAGTACCGATAGTCACCGAAATGGGACCTTACGTTTACAAGTAAGTTCTTACTATATAATTAAATATCATCTCATCATCATTGCATAACAATTCTTAAAAACAATAATAATCTAACACATTTTAGAATCCTTACCTTAGTACAGTTATAGTTCAGCATAAAATATGTATATTTTTATTTACGTTTATTCCAACGCCTCGTCATAATCTACGCTTACAGACGATCAGATTTTCTAACTCCGAAATATTTGAGCTCGCAAAGTCACTTATTTTATATGGAATTCAAAATTCGATTGATTGATGTTACCTAATCAAAATTGCTAACTTTTTCAAGCAATTTCGGTAAAAGTTAATCAGCTTTTTAAAATATTAAGGTGATCAATAATTCAATGTACCATGTCTTTTAGCACGGAGAGCGGGAATTTCTAATACAAGTATATATTTACTTAAAAGAAATTCCCAATCGCAATACTGTATCGGAAATTATTGTATCAAATAAAGAATTTGTTTATTTGTTTTGTTTTGTTTGCTTTTTGCATTTAGTCAATGCAAGATATGGAGACTATGGTCCGTATTATAGAAAGATTGTCAGTGATTGATCTAGTCTTGAGCATAGTTAGAAAGGGATGTCGCTATATATAGCACATAGCGATATCCCTTTCTAACTGTACTCAAGTAAGGATCAACACTTAGTTGTCATTCATTAATACGGACCTAAGTATACATTTTTATTTATAGATAGTGCACGGTGGTACATCTGTAGATTGCACATCCGTAATGTATATGAGGTATGAAAAGTAATGTAGATGTTGTAAAAACTAAATTGTGCTGTGCTTAGTGATGTGGTGCTGGGAATATTCAAAATTCCCAGTAATTTACTCATACGGGACACACTTCAAGTGCACGTTAAGCCGTTGGTCCCGGCTGCATCTGCAGTCGTCAGCACCCACCAATCCGCATGGGCCCGCGTGGTGGGTCATGGCCCAATCTCCCTATTCCATCCATAGGGAAGACCTGTGCCCCAGCAGTGGGGATATTAATAGGCTGATAATGATGATGGGATACACTTACGATGAAGGTGTGCAAATTCCACTATGCCTTCAAAGTATTTCTGCAGTGTAAACATTGTTTTATAAGCAGGCAAACGAGTTGTCAGTCCACCTGACGGTAAGTGGTCCCTACCGCACATGGAAACTCACGCGTTGCTAGCTCTGAAGGAAAAGGGTAACCCGCCTTTTGAAGATTCTCATAGCATAGCTAAAAGAGAAAACCACTGAGGGAAGTTCGTTCCAGAACTTGCTGGTACGCAAGAAAAACAAACATGAATAAATCAGAATTATTATGTTACAAACTGGTTTAGTGTCCATTAATAAATCATAGTAGCCTGAACGCCATCTCAACGCATCTAAAGCCTGCCTCTATTTATCACACATCAAGACTACTTACCCGTAGCGTCCAAATGAAAGGTCGCATAATATTGAAACTACACGTTACCTCGATTACACTTAAGGGTTCAGAATTTTCCAGATTGTATTCGAGCAGGCTGATAGAGGAGAGGACGGATGACAGGCTGAGGTATCGCAAACTGGACCGATTTGAGTTCGACGCCGTAGCATCTTTCCCCTACACCGAGAATGATATTGTCCATGTAGCAAACACACCTTTCCATGTAAGTTCTTTCTTCTATATTTTATGTTAATGCTTTTTTGCAAGTAAGTTGCTTTTCCGGGTCTTTTCGTTCGCCCTGCTGGTCAAATCGCCCACGTACTCTTTTTGATCGGATGCAAATATTGCCGCTATTTTAAATGTTTGTTTCATTTATTCTTAAATAAATGATAAAAAATATGAATTTGTATTGCATAGTCTGATATGAATGAGTACCTTATGTTAATATTTGATATAAAGAATCTCATACCTGTATTTAAAATTATATTGACACCGAATTCCGATGACAGCAATTAATAAATTTAATATTTTTTTAAAAACGGCTACGATTGGCTTACTCTTAAATGTAGTCACGTGTGTGTAAACTTGCTGTTAAAGCACAGACTTTAACCTGTGCTTTAACAAGTGACGTTTTAATTGTGTAGATTGACGTTAATATGACAAATGGTGACGTCACATGTTTATGATTATGCAGATACATAGTGCCCAGAGAAAGAAGAGTCATATTTGAATTTCTTTTTTCCTACTTTTACTGAAATGCATAAGTCCGAATAATAAATATTAATTTTATGCAGTTCATGATCATATTAATATGCTTATTATACTTACAACAACGCTTGACAATTCGTTTCGAGAATATTGCAAATTTTGGAGAGTCTGGGTGTAAGTACCTAACTTAATAACTCGGTCTCGAAAGTAACTTACTTGCAAACCAAACAAGCAAGTTGCTTGTATAGGTATGAATATACAAATCTCAAATTAAGTAATATTACGTGATACACTATGGATTTAGTATTTCTCTGCTGCTATTCAGTAATACCGGATCCGCCTGCATGCATTCAAGCTTTCAATGAACATTAATATTAGGAATTAAGCAAGCAAACACAGTTTGTCCGTAAGAAGCTTAATAGTTATGGACGTGTAGTGCAAATCTGTCTGTAACAGTTTGGTTAATTTAATATTACTTACTAGTTCCTCTATGGTTCCTCTTCGACTAGATATCCTCTTAGATACTTACCACCTTATTACAAAATGTAGACTAAAGTGGACTAAAACTGATGTTGCAACAGCTTTTTGTTTGCAAGACTAACTTTCGTTTTGGAATAAGGCGGTTAATGTCGAAGAGGAATTAGTAGATATACTAAACATATTAAATTTACTTATCTATAAATAAACAAATCTAGTTAAAATGCTTATATGGAAAAAACGACCAACAATAAAGAAATATCATCATCATCATGACCCTATTAATGTCCCCGCTACTGAGGCACAATCCTTCTTATAGCAATATTTACTTCTAGTGTCCTTACTTATACTTTATTAAACAACTAACATAAATACATAAGTTACGTACAGTCAAAGACTCGAAGGGCATTCTTAACATCTTAACACCGACACACGTATTACATAGAGATAAAAACTATGTAGGTATGCATGGTATATTATATACCAAATTATACATCAAATTTGAGAATAACTTACGTACCATATTCTAACTTAGAATTTAGTATGTTTTGGTAAATTCTTCCTTTCATAGGAATGCCACTTAATAGTTCGAAAGCGGCTTGAAAATCTTCCAAATATAAGTACCTCCTTGCAACGAATCTTACAACCCTTGACTATGCGAATGCGAACTGTCTGGAAAGTGGAGTGAAAGCACTATAAGGAGAAGATTTCCTCCATATAGGAATACTCTCTACATTATAGCAACCCAAACGTTACTCGTATAAAGTATATTATTTATTGAAATAAGCGTAAAAAAATGACTAAAAATTATTGTTGGATCTTATGGTGCTGGTCTCGTAAGTAAACAAACAGGCTCTTTTATTAATCTAATGTCATGCTTAAAATGGATTGCCATTACCTCGATTTTTTATTATCACAACGTCGACGGCTTACATTACCGAGAGATAACTCTCGAAAGTTATAAAATGAAACTTCTAAATTTATATAAAATATTTACATATTCTTTTTTTAAAAAAGGGTATCTTGACTCGACTGAGTTTGCTAAAAACCTCGCGACGGTCTTTCAAAAATGTATTAAGGTTAACTCTTACCATTTAATATCAGTGTATGAGAGTTTGGAACAAGGGCTATTCGGTGTGCGACGGGTGCCGTCGGTAGAGGGGGGGGGGGGGGGGGTACAAATAAATAAGTCCATGCCAGACCCACCATACCCCTAGCCATACCCCCAGGGGTATGGCGGGACTGAAACATACCACCGTTGTAGTGCTGGGATTTGATGGAAAAATAGAAAAATAATAGATACCTAACAGATACAAATATTTAGTCTATTAAAAAAACCGAAATCCGTTCTGGCAAAACCTAAAAATATAACAAATACTTATTTTGTTATTTATCTTAAACAGACAACTTAAAAGATGATAATCTATGTTCTTAATTTGTCTAACGCATGCCCAATGGTGATTTCGTGTACACTAACTGCATTTGGACTTCTGTTGTAAAATCATCATTAATAAATTGTTCCGCTCGACGTTTTTTAGGAGTAACTTTTGTTTTATGAATATTGTGTAGAACATTTAACAGTCGCATTAAAGTTACTGTATTCAACACCCGTCTGGTACAGTATCTCGAAAAAAACAAAATACACTTCTGGACACATCTATTGGCCTACCTTGTATTTTCAGTTTCGTTTGGTCCTAGCTAAAATTTTATATTAGGTTGAGCAAAAAGTTTTTATGCAGTTTTGAACCTGGCACATTCACAATTTCTTTCAGTAGTCTTTTTTTGAATTTCGAACACAGAATTTAAAGAAACAAAAGACAATTTGGAGCCTGTTTGTTGATATCAAACAATCGAATACTAGAAAACTTAGTTTTATTGGTTCACTTGGATTTAATTCTTGAAAAAGTGATTTATATCTTTGGTTTTGCAACAAACATTACTTATTCTTAATAATCTATGGATACTTCACCTGAAGTCCCCGCCCAAGCTGTGGCACTTATTCAGGCCGGACACAGCCAAAGAAACGTGAGTGCTCAACTTAATATAAATCGGTCTGCGGTCCGAAATGTTTATCGGAGGTACCTAGAGACTGGCGGCTTTGTTCGTCGCCAAGGAAGGCCACGATCTCGGGTCACAACTGAAAGGCAGGATCGATTCATCGTGACGACCAGCTTGAGAAATCGTCACCTTACCTCCATTGAGATACAAAAACAAATTCGCGACTTCCACGGAGTATCTGTGAGCGCTCGAACTGTTCGGAGAAGGTTAAAAGAACGCGATATGGTACCACACAAGCCAGCTAATGGGCCCAAACTAACGCGAGCCCACCGAACAGCGCGCCTTCATTTCGCACGCAGTCATTTAAATTGGACACAGCAAGATTGGAGCCGTGTACTCTTTTCTGATGAGTCTAAAATTGTGTTACATGGCAATGATGGAAGGAAGAAGGTCTACCGACGTAAGGGAGAGCGTTTCGCAAAATGCTGCTTTGAAGAGAGGGTTGCTTATGGCGGTGGCTCATGGACTGTCTGGGGCGGTATATCCGCGAGCGGCAAAACTCAACTTGAGGTTGTTACAGGACCACGGCTGCCAACATTAAATGCTGAAAGGTACATTCGTGAGTGCTCAGAACCTCACATGATACCATACGCGGACTATGTGGGCCCAAATTTCATTTTTATGCATGATAATGCAAGAGCCCATGCGGCCGGCATCGTCAGGGAATATCTTCGGGATGTGAACATCACAGTTATGGACTGGCCAGCCAGAAGCCCAGCCATGAACCCCATTGAGCACATGTGGGACGAGCTAAAAAGACGTGTTAGGGCTCGTCAGCCAGTTGCCCAGACGATGCAGGAGTTGAAAACTGCCATAGAAGAGGAATGGGAGATGATCCCTCAAAATTTAATAGAGCGGTTGATAAACTCTATGCCTAATCGTATGAGAGCTGTGGTAGATGCCCATGGAGGCAACACGCGTTATTAAATTAAACCTTTATTTGATAAAACATGTTTTTTATTCAAAAATCAATGGCCTTTAACAAGGCGCATATTAGTGCAGTCATTGAAGCGAAAAATACGGTCTTACCTCCGAATTTTTTTACTGTGAACCGATTTGCATGAAATTTTGGAATTAGGCTCATTTTCACTTTTGAAGTTAAGGGTAAGATGAGCCTAATTCCAAAGTAAAGTTTTATCAAATAAAGGTTTAATTTAATAACGCGTGTTGCCTCCGTGGGCATCTACCACAGCTCTCATACGATTAGGTATAGAGTTTATCAACCGCTCTATTAAATTTTGAGGGATCATCTCCCATTCCTCTTCTATGGCAGTTTTCAACTCCTGCATCGTCTGGGCAACTGGCTGACGAGCCCTAACACGTCTTTTTAGCTCGTCCCACATGTGCTCAATGGGGTTCATGTCTGGGCTTCTGGCTGGCCAGTCCATAACTGTGATGTTCACATCCCGAAGATATTCCCTGACGATGCCGGCCGCATGGGCTCTTGCATTATCATGCATAAAAAGGAAATTTGGGCCCACATAGTCCGCATATGGTATCACGTGAGGTTCTGAGCACTCACGAATGTACCTTTCAGCATTTAATGTTGGCAGCCGTGGTCCTGTAACAACCTCAAGTTGAGTTTTGCCGCTCGCGGATATACCGCCCCAGACAGTCCATTACAATGCGTAATAAAAACTTAACTGATAAATCACAACAACAACTTCCGGAGCTCCGATTTCACAGTAATTGCAATTTGGGTACCAATTATGATTGTTCTTGCAAACCACTTCAACATGTCGGCGACATCAAATACCTCGGAATTGTGGTAGATAATAACTTGTCCTTTAAATTACACGTTAAAGTTCTGTATGGTAGAGTAAGAAAACTGATAGCCGCCTTTAAGTTATTGCGCCATGTCCTTGAGCCGACTTTACTAAAACGTATTCACATAGCCCTATGTCAATCAATATTGACATATGGTATTACAATATGGGGTGGAATGCCAAAAACTAATTTAAAAAGTGTGGAAGTCGCGCA